ATAAGTAATGGTCTAGCAATCAATTGGAGACGTTTAATGAATGATTCAACTAAACCATTTTGTGTATGAACATGTGCTACAGGATGTTCAACACTTATCCCAATAGACATGCAATAATCATTAAAGGCTTGGGATGTGAATTTACCAGCATTATCAAGAATGGTGACGTGCCTCATGTGCAAAAAATAAGGCATTTTCCTTAGGCCACCAAAAACTAAACAAATAAAAGTCCACATTTTTTTCTAAATTAAGCAAAGCATTTATATTTATATCGTGTTTTAGGACTTTTCTTTTGGAAAGTAAACTCAAATCATTAACATTTATGGAAACTTTTATTTGTTTTTCCTTTGTATTAACTCCTAAATCTTGTTTATTCATGAAATTATTTTAAATTAAGCAACATTTTCTTACTTATGTCAAAAATATAATGTTAGGCCACATTTTAAAAATTTTCCTTAAGCTTCAATAGACCTTGGAACGGTACTGATCAAGACAAATTGTCTTCAGAGGAAAGTCTGGAAAATGTGCTCGTAATCTAATTCAATTGAGCAAGTAGTCTCGCAAACGCCATGTTGCGAGTCGATAACAAGGATATGTGTGACAATGTTTTCGAGATTAAGACCATAAAAATATGAATGTTCCACATTGTGGATGAATTGGTCTACATACTTAGCACTCACCAAGAACCCGGTATTCCACGGACGAAGTAAGCACATTCACAAAAGACACCATTTAATTTGAGAGTGTGTTGAGAATGAACAAGTAGAGGTAGAGCATGTTCCCAGGGAAGAGCAAAAGGCCGACATTCTAACGAAAGCGCTTGGAAGGATCAAGTTCAAGGAGATGAGAGATCTTGTTGGAGTTCAAGATGTGTTGAAGTATGACTTCAAGCTTAAGGGGGAGAATGTTAACTTAAGCTTGAATGTAACTTAAGTTATAAGTTATTATTTAAGAGAAGAGATAAGCCTTATAATCTTTAGGAGTTATCTAAACATATTACTAATTAGACTAGGATTTGGTCTAAAAGTTTTCTATATAAGAAGATGTCAAGTTGTGACATAGCTCATGGGTTTTAAGAGATTGAGATTGTGAGGTTTAGGTTTTGAGTTAGTTTCCTAAAACAATAAAGAGAGAGTCTTTATATTCATAATCTTTGTTCTTAGTGTTTGAATCGATAGGGTTCATGCTTATAACGTGTTGTGAACAATTAGACTTACGAATTGCTCTTGTATATTATTCATAAGTAATAAGAGGATAAATATGGGATACAAATTAGGGTTCAACTTAGGAACTGAGTAATGTAAAAATATCTAGAACATTCTAATGGGCCCATAATGGGCATCCATACAATAAACATATTATTCATAACAGTCTTTCTCCGTTATTTCCATCAAATACTTTACTTTTTCTCTTTTCCGGTTTCTAATATCAACATGTTCGACGGGCTTCCTCGAGTTCATCTTGAAGAGTAACTCCATTGTGGACAATGTGATCATTATAAATATATTGCTGTAGGCGAATCATGTCAGATTTATACCCATCCAATTCCTCTGTCATTTCCACTTTCTTAGATGGATCAATCTGATTTAGAATGATAGCTTCAAGATCCCTGATTTTATCCCCAAACTTGTTCACCATATACAAAGCAACCACAATTTCATCGAGATCAAACCGATTCATAAGCACCAACTCATAAGCATCTTTAAGCATAAATCGTAAAGACTTGACGCCATTGCAACTAAGTGAATTTCCTTATCATTTTCGAGCAAGAATACGAAAGTCTCAAATAAAATAAAATCAGGAATCACTCTCTTAACCAATCGAAACATCTAAATCAACAATTTCGCGGTTCTCTGAAAAACCTAAAATACAAGCCAAGATTTTGAAAAACGGAGGGAGTTAAATTAATGGAATGTATTGGTTATTAAGGGGTATAAGAGGTGATGGTTTATGTTTCTTCATTTGAACTTTGGGGCACCTTCTAACAAAAAGTTTATTTACCCAAAAGATTTTGCCTAATTTTAAGCAAAAAAACTAATATGAGATACTCTTGTTGATGATAGTGATAGTCGTTAACCGTTATGGGTGGAATTATTATCTAAACTCTGAGATTGTTCCAATTTTTATAATACATCTGATTTCAGTTTTAATAAAATCATTGCAACACCACCAGTACAAAACAAGTACAAATACTTACAATCTTACATAGAAATATATAAATAATATATATATATATATATATATATATATATATATATATATATATATATATATATATATATATATATATATATATATTTATATTGCAAAAAGTTAGAAACGATTGTCATGAAATAAGATGCTAGTTTTATCGATAGTTGGAACATTAGTATCACTTTTATCATGCCCAGAACGTTCAATGCGGTTATATATCTACATATTGTATGTTTATTACTTTTATTATATTTTATCATTTATGTTTTACTAGATTAAGCCCACCTAAATAGATGGATGTAAAATATATATAAATTTAAATTTTTATCGATGATATCTGAAATTTTGAGTAGTAAATGGTAATTTAAGCACTTTCCTAATATTTAATTTATTAATTTTTGGTTTAAACAAAATTTCTTTATTACACATTCTATTTTGCTATATATTTTAATTATCATAATAAAATGAATTTTTTTTTTTCTACACAATCCACCTTATTGATGATATTTGAACTCTAAATAGTAACCAGCACATATTTTATATGTATTTTAGAATTTTTATAAAAGCCAAATTTAAATTTTACATATTCTATTTTGCAATACAATTTAACTATCTATTGACCATGATAAACTGGATATTAATTCTACACATTTAATCTTAATGTATAAGTGCTAACAATTTTATATCAAAATAATATGTATATGATATCAAATCTATATCTTAGTTAATATTAAAAATAACAAAACATAAATAAATAAAAAATAAATCCAAAAAAAATTGGAAAACAAATATTGTTTAAAATATAGTTTTTCTATATGTCATAATCTCGTAAATTAATTTTACCTCATGTCAAAATAATATGAAATGAGTTAAAATAAACAAATAAAAGATAAATAAAAATATACTTACATTCTCATTAAGTAAAAGGAAATTCAATCCTATACGCCATTTTTCCCAATTTGTTTTTTTTTTACTTATGACTACGTACGTTGAAATTCTTAGAATAAAACATAAATATACCATACTAATATTCTCGTCAAGTATTCAAAGATTCTTTCTCATAAGCTCATTAATTTTTTAATTTTTTTTTTTGTCTTTTCAATTAATGAATAAGAACACTAAATTACAATGATAAATACATTTTTTATCCAATTAAATTAATGTTAAATAAATTTTATTGTTATATAAACTTCAATGGTAACTGTTTATTAGTTAATATCCATGTTTTTTGTTTTTTATAAATTAATACATGCCAAATTTAGTTGTGCCTTAAGTCAATAACACATATAAAATAATTTGTTAGTTTTCCTTTTTGATTAAGAAATTAAAGTTAAATTTTTTTAGATATTTGCATATCCTATACTGTTATTTTGGAAGTACATAATAGAAAATAACCTTATCATTTGTAAATAATTACTTAAGAATGCCATTAAAAATAAAATTTTAATAATTACATAATAGACTAAACTAATACACTATATTAAGGATAAACAAGTAAAATACTAATTTAAACAATTTATTTAAATTATAAAAAAGAAAATACATTTTAATTTTCCAAAAAAGAATAACCAATCAAAATTAACATAAAATATTTGATATCTAACTTACCATATTAAATTGTTATTAATCATTATACTGCGCTTCTCATCTTTTTATGATTCTATTTTTGTGAAACAAATAAATCATCATATCATCCATGTAATAAAAACAAATTCCCTGTATGCCATGATTTTAATTTTTTAAAACGAATATAAATTATTCAATCTATGAAGAAAAAAATTGTAACGGGTCAAAAATTCAGACTTGAGTAATATATTTCTTTTAAACAAAAACAAATTTTACAAAAATTTCGGCTGGGTAACCGGTCAGAATTTGAATATTTATATTGAATTTCATACATTTATTTTTTTGAAATGTATAATTTTATATACAATAAAATTTTTAAAATTTTAATTGAAAACATTTAAAAATAGTTTAACTTGATATTTTTAAAGAATATCCTAAATATTTAACTTAATTTTTTAGCACGGGTTAATATGATGTATTTTATGATAGAAAGAGTTATGATCGCTATAACAGACACTGGGTTAAAATTATATGATAAGATAGTTTAAATAATATTTGACACCTCTAAATATTTGGAAATTTGATTCTGCAAGAAATTTTGAAAATACCGAATGATTGATTGTGTAAGCAACTTTGCATTAAGATTATAATTTGAAAATATGAACTCCACGCAGGGGTTGAATTTGGTATTATTATATACCAACAATATGTTTATAATACATTCGATTATGAAAATAATTGCTAAATTCCGTAATTAGCTCAAACAAATATACATTTCAATAACCAAAGAATTAAAATTAAAAAGGGAACTTCCTAAATTAACTCAAAATAATATTTAATTTCCTTAATTAACTCAAAATAATCTATATTTTAGATGCGCCTCATTTATGATATTTCGATTTTGATCTAACCGAATTATATGCAATATATTTTAATTTTTGATCTTACCGAATTATATGCAATATATTTTAATTTTTGATCTTACCGAGTTATATGAATCTTATTTTGTGGTTGTTAACATAAATAAACTCATTTTCTAAACAAAATTAGTTTTTTTTAAAATAATATTACTTTCAGTTATCATATCTTAAGAAAAATATCCATAATTGAGTACTATGTAAAAAAAACAAAATATATTCATTCTAATATTATATATAGGAAATGACCAAAAAAAAATTACTTACTACTATAATATGTCAAAAGTTTATTCTAAAATATATACTATATAGTACAACAAGATCATGACCCGTGCTACAGCATGGGTTAAATTTTATTTAGTAAACTAGTATATTGTAAATATGTTTCTTTTTTAATTTTTCTATTTTTTAAGAAAAAAGTAAAAAATTTTGTGACACATGTCAACATTTTATTGATAGACTTGACACGTGTCACGATCATGTGAGTTACTAACTTTGAAAACCAAACTTTACATTCATTGTTCCACACGGCTCCTTCTTTCTTCAGAAAGGTAATCGCTAAAGTGGTGGTCTACAACATCTGGCGGCAGTGGAACAATGTTTTACATAACTCCCAGCGTTTGTCTCCTCCTCTTGTCTTCAAGCTGATTGATCGTGAAGTTCGCAATATTATTTATGCTAGGAGAAAGCGAAAGCGGTGGCGTGACCTCATGATTCTCTGGATTCGCTAGTTTTTCATATCCTTCCTTTTTATTGTTGCCTTGTTTTATTTTTTGCCTTGGCTACTCTTGTTTAGGTATTGCTTTTGTAAAACCTCTATTCATTTTATATGATATTTACATGTTTAGCAAAAAAAAAAAAACCAAACTTTATATAATAAGATATATGTTTATTTTAGGGTTTTCTGCAAAATTACCCCCTAAGTCAATTTTTTTTGCAAGTTTATCCTCCAAATCCGAATTATGCAAGTCAACCCCACAGTCTCAAAAGTCACTCACAATAGAGCTCTCCCGTGTAGCGATGACGTGGCACTCGATAACTCCGTTTGAAAATATAAGGGTTTTGTGCAACCCTCCATGTAATTTTTTTTGTAAGACAAACCTCCATGTCAAAAA